TAAAACCTGGTACTTAAAAAAAAAAATTCAACTCCAATCTCTCCCTGGAAACCCAGCTACCTGTCTAGGCTCTCCAGAAGAGAAAGGGAGATGGGTGTCCTTATCCTCCCTCTCCCATATCCAGAGCCAGTCCTGAGGTCTGTGCCCCTGATCTCTGCCCCTCCAGCCATGCATTTGTATCGGTTCTTAACAAAATTTGCAAAAACAAGAGTAAATAAAGAGAGTTCTGAAACATACATAGAGGGAAAGGGAAATGGGGAGTTTAGCTGGGACAGTCTCAGTGTTTACAAGATTAAAAGAGTTCTGTAGATGGTGATGATGGTTGTAAAATGCCACTTGATGCCACTGAGGTATACACCTGAAAATGGTTGAGATGAGCTGGTTATGGTGGTGCAGGCCTGTAATCCCACTTACTTTGGAGGCTGAGGCAGGACAACCACAAATCTGAGGCTGGCCTGGGCAGCTTAGTGAGACTCTCTCAAAATTAAAAGTAAAAGGGGCTGGGGATATAGCTCAGTGGTAGAATATCCCTGGGTTCAATCCCTAGAACCAGGAAAGAGAGAGAGAGAGAGAGAGAGAGAGAGAGAGAGAGAGAGACAGACAGACAGACATGGGGGGGGCAGGCTAAGATGGTAAAATTTTTTTATATATATATTTTTAAATTTTGGGTGGACATAATATCTTTATTTGTTTTATGTGGTGCTGAGGATCAAACCCAGTGCCTCGCGCATGCTAGGCAAGCACTCTACCACTGAGCCATAACCCCAGCCCCTAAGATGGTAAATTTTATGTTGCATGTATGTTATTTAAAAAAAAAAAGACAAAGGACAGATGTTCTTTGACATATAAAACCACTGACCAGATAAAACTCAAACTCTCAGCAGGGCATACCAGTCCTTTCACCATGTGGCCCAAGGAGTCTCCCTAATCTGCCTTCATTCCACTTCAGCCTACTCACAGTTCAGCTACATCATCTGCTCTTTCTCATGCTTTTTTTTTTTTTTTTTAACCACCTGCATTACTGGGGATTAAACCCAGGTCCTTGTGCATGCTAGGCACACCACTGAACTACCTTCCCCAACACTTTTTATTTATTTTATTTTTTAACTAAATGTGGTACTGGAGATTGAACCCAGTGGTGCTGTAACACTGAACCACATCCCCAGCCCCTTTTAAATACTTTTATTTTGAGACAAAGTCTTGCCAAGTTGCTGAGGCTGATTCAATCTGCAATCCTCCTGCCTCAACTTCCCGAGTAGCTGAGGTTACGGGCAGTTGCTACCACATCCAGCTCCTTTCTCACTATTTATATTCAGCTGTCTTGGACTTACATGTCAAGACCTATGCATGAGGTTAACATTTTCAGCACTTTCCATATATCAAGCACTGTACTACACATTTTACCTATCTGATTCATCAAATAGGAACCCTAAGGTTAGGATAACATCTCCATCTTGTAGGTGGGAAAACTGAGAGTTAATGAAATTTATTTATTTGTCCAGCTTCACACATCTAAAACTCACTTCTTTGATGATCCTTGATAGAACTAGCAACCAGGTTCCCTGGTGTTTCATATACTTCTGTGTAGAGAATCAGATGTGACTGTGTTACTATTACTGCCCTTGATGGAGTCTGCCTGCAAACGGGATATTCTGTCAAGGTATAGATAGATAACAGCGGACATGCTTGAAAACAAGGTGTCTGCTGTCCTTGGGAGGACTTGCCTGCAAACGGGATGTTCTGCCAAGTGGGCTAGGAGGGCACTGAGAAAAATTTTATTATCTGTTCTTAACAAAGAGCAGAGCTCAACATACTCCGGGCCGAAAGTAGATTAGCCATGAGAAGCGGGTCACTTCTGATTAGAAAGTAAAACTTCTGTATGCTATGTTTAATTAGCTGAAAGACCTGATTTATTGATGTTGGAAGGCTGCCTTCTTTGTTCACAATACTATAAAAAGATTGCTTGTACACAATAAAGGACCTTTTTTCCTGCTGCTGCTTTGCTTGCTCTGCTTCTTCTTTCTTTCCCCATGCTGACCTGCAAGTGAATTACTGCAACACTTCTGTGTAATATATTTTACATGTCAATCTCCCAAGACCCCAGTTATCTAGGGCCAGTACCAAGTCTTATTCATCTTTAGAGTCCCTCTGAACTACCTAACACAGTGCTTGGCATACTGTCAGCGCCAATAAATGTTAGTTGAAAGAAAGAAAGAAAGAAAGGATAGGGGCAGACCCAGAGGAAGGGAAGGAGAGAGAGACAGGGGACAGGGTGGAGCGAGTGGGTAGGCCAGGCCTGGAGGTTGCAGGGTGTGCTGCCAAGCTCAGGAAAGGTTTTTTTTTTTTTTTTTTTTGAGGGGTGTAGAAAAGGCAGGGGATGTTGGGCAGGCATAGTAGGTGCCCTTGGTGCGGGCTTGGCAAAGTCAATGTCAAAGCAAAGTCAGTATTAATGAAAGAGTGCAGACAGCTCTGGACGGTAATCAGGAATCCTGGAATCTAGGGCAGCCTGCAAAAAGAGAAGTTGGGGGCACAGTGTCCTGGAGAGGGCAGGGTGGAAGAAGAAAAAAAAAAAAGTTGGCCCTGGGAATTTCCGGGGACAAAAGATCAGGAAGCTGCCCACAGAATAATCTCTTCGGTGGGTGTCCAGATGTACCTGGGCTCTTCAAACTCCTCCCTGCTGCCTCACACTGGAGGCCTCTATAGGACAATTGCTTTTCATTATTCAGTTCTCTGCTCAAGTGACACCACTTCAGAAAGGCCTTCCCTGACCACCTGACTACTTCCCTTCTCCCTATATTATATTTCAGATTTTTTTTTTCCAGTACTAGGGATCAGACTCAGGGACACTCAACCACTGAGCCACATCCCCAGCCCTTTGTGTATTTTATTTAGAGACAGGGTCTCACTGAGTTGCTTACCCCCTCGCTTTTGCTGAGGCTGGCTTTGAACTTGCAATCCTCCTGCCTCAGCCTCCGGAGCAGCTGGGATTATAGGCGTGTGCCATCATGCCTGGCTATATTACAGATTTTATTCCCTTAAGAGCTCTACTTGTCTGAAATGATGCTGCCTATATATTTGTTTTCTTATTTATGGGCTGCTTATTTCCCTCATAACAGCAGGGATTGTATGTGCCTTTTTTACCAATGCATCCTTGGTGTCCACAACAGTGATGGGCAATTGTAGGTGCTCAGTAAGTAGCAGTTGAAAGGTTATGCCCAGTTGGCCTAGGTTGACCCTGAACATTGACTAGGGACCAGAATCTAATGTGGACTCCCTTGGCATTCTGAGAACCTCTTACAAACACTGCTGGGTGGGAGCAGGCAGCTGTAGACCCCAGGAAGGTCTAAAAGGTTAGGATTTAGAGGGTTACAAAGCCAGATTTAGGATTTTTCTGTCTTCCACACAAGAGTCTCTACTGAAGTCTCCTTGCCCTGGCTGATATCTGCAAAAGGCCATAGGAGGTCCAATGAATGACACCCTGTTGCCTGGCTTCCTGGTCGGAAGATCTTTGTAAGAAACTGGGAGGCTGCAACACTGGGATTACCATGGGGTCTGAAGATATGGGAAATGGTTTAACAGTTCCTGAGAGGGCACTGAAGGCTGAGGCAGGAGGATCACAAGTTCTAGGCCAGCTTCAGCAAAACTTAATGAGGCCCTGTCTCAAAATAAAAAATTAAAAAAAGGACTGAGGATGTGGCTCAGTGGTAAAGCGCCCCTGGGTTCAATCTCCTGTACCAAAAATAAAATAAGAGTTCATGAAAGAAATGAGAATTAAAAGGTGCAGACTGAAGGCTGGAGTACTGGGACTCCCAAGGATTCCAAAGAGGATTGAAGATTAGAAGCTGGGGGCCACCAGGATTCTCCAGAGGTCTAAGGAATGAGGAGGCCTGGATCCCATATACTTGAGGACAGAGATCTTCCTGAATCTGACTGCGCTTTCTAACTGGGACCAGTACAAGTCAGTTCTTATTTAATGGAATAGAGATGAATTGGTCTGGGAACACAGCAAGGACAAAGACTTAGAGAGATGAGGTCACTCTCTCTCTCTGCCCCCCTTCTCTCTTTTTTTTTCTTTCTTTCTTTCTACTATTCTCCCACTGCTACCACCACCCCACCCTCCATAGGGATGGAACCCAGGTTGCTGCACATGCTGCGACTATTCTAACCACAGAGCTACGTATCCTGTCCCCCCTCCCTTTTTATTTTTCTCTTCTTCTACCCCTTTTCTTAGAACCCCTGCTCCATCTCTCTCTGACCCTCTCACGCCCCCTGCTGCTCTTTCCCTGGGCAGCAATGGCGAGTCCAAGGACCACAATGATGGTAACAAGAAAATTCTAATCTGATCTCTGAGGAAGGAAAATGGAGTGTCAGAGGGAGTAGATGTGGAGGGAAAGGCTGGGTTCCTAGTTTCCAGAAAGTGACTTGTGTCTGTGTGTGTACGCCTGTGGGTGCTATTGCTGGGATCTCAGCCTTCATCACCACTTCTTCAGGGAAGCCCCCTTGACTCCCAGACTAGGTTAGAACCTCCTACCTAGTCTCTATGCTTCCACAACTTTCTTTCTCTCTCTCTTTTTTTCTTCTCATTATTGGAGATTGATTTTAAGCTTTCCGCATGCTAGGTAAGCACCCTACCGCTCAGCTACATTCCCAGCCTCTTTTTAAAATTTTTTTGAGACAAGATCTCACTAAGTTGCTGGCCTCAAACTTAAGAACCTCCTGCTTCAGCCTCCTGAGTAGCTGGGATTATAGGTGGGCACCATCACACCAGGTACTTTTACAACTTTCTGACTGCTTTTTTATGGCATTTATCAGTTTCCAATCATCCACTTATTTGTTAGCATTTGAAGCCTCCCTTTCCCATAGGACTGTTGGGTACCGTGAGGGTGGGAACCAGGACTGTTTTTGTCAGTATATCTCAATGCTTGACACAGTGTTTGGTCCCTTGCCTGTACACAGTAAGTGTTTGTTGAATAAATGAGCATATCACATTCATAGGGGGTTTAATGGGAGTTATCAGTGCCATTGCTTGGGATCTGGGGGCAGCTGTGAGTCCAGATGTCCTGGCTTCTGCTCAGGGCCCTGTCCACGTCCAGTTTCTGTCCTTGTGCCCAAAGGCCATCCAAGCAAAAGGAAGCAGAAGAGTCCTCTCCTAGAGGGAGGTGGCATAGAGGTGGCATTAGAGCATTAGGGTGCCTTGAATCCTGAAACTCCTTACTTTTCAGTTCTCTAACTGAATTTCCAAAAGTACTTCCTCCCACTGCCCCCTTATCTTTTTTTTTTTTCTTTTTCTTCTCAGTGATGGGGATCAAACCCATGGTCTAGTATACGCTAGGCGAGCTCTCTACCGCTGAACTGTATCTCCAGCCCTATCCCCCCTTCCCCCCTCCTTTATTTTTATGTCAGAGTAACAGGCATGATTTTATAAGAAGGGATAGAAAAGGGGAGAATGGGACACTGTCAAGGGAGAAAGAGTGGGTCCTCTCAGAGAGGAGAAGGACTCCCTCTTTTTTGTGGTCTTTTCTTCTTCTGTCCCAGAGTTCCCTTGAGGTACTGAGGAACTTGAACATCTCACTTACCTGGTAAAGCTCCCAGGAAGAGCCGGCCCTGAGGTTGGGTCCAAAGGTTGAGGAGGGGGCCAAGGCTCAAAGGAGGCAGAACAAGGACCTCTGTCTTCTGCCCCTGGCTCAAGACCACTCCCGACATACTCAGCTTCAACTGAAGAGGGATTCCCAAAACCAGGGGCAGAGCCAGCCCTGGCCCTGCCCCAGAAGACAGCACTACTTTCTGCAGTGTGAGAGACAGGGACAGGAGTAAGGGAGGAAAGAATGGGTTATACCTATTCTTTGTGGCCCCACTCTAGCTGCCTTAATTCAGTCTTTAAACCACACTTCTACCTACCGACTGTTCTCACCACTTACATCCTGCCCTAATTTTCCTGGTTTGACTTTCTATAACCCCCCCCCCACCCCTTAATATAAGCTAAAGCTGTTTGCTTGCTGTAGGCAACTTTAAGATATATTCCTGACTCCCCACCCCTATCCTTAAACTTGCCTAATATTGAAAATTTGGAGGCCCTCATTGCTCTCAGGATTTACTGAATACAGGCAGCGCCCCCTACCCTCCCCCTTTACTTGATCTTGGAGATGAAGACTGAGCCAAGAAGGGGTCTCTGGTTCCCCAAGGGCAAGGAGATGGCCTGAGCCTGCCGCCAGCTTAAATTCCAAGTCCAGAGAGAAGGCCAAGGGCTCTATGTGAGGCTGAGGAATGTCTGCAGGGAGAAAAGATCATCCTGAGACCTCAAGGCTGGGGTTTCATGAAGAGAAGAGCCTTGCTGGCAGCTGCCAGCAGACACCTCATAGAACAGAAGGGTCATTTGCTGAGCCTCCCTGGATTCCTGACCCAGGAGTAGGGAGACATCATGAAATGGCTGTGTTTAAGCCGCTGAGTTTGCCAGCAGCTTGTCAGGCCATGGCAGGAGACTGGAACACGTGGTCACTTCTCCCATGGACTCCCACCAGCCCAGCAGTGTCCTGCACAGCAGAAAGTGCAGCTCAGACTTCACACGGGACACAGTACAAGTGCATTGCACCTCAACTCTCTGAACTTGATGGCCCTTGAATCTAACAGGGTGATGATGGAAGGCCCTTGTCCTCACCTTGTCTGCAGTTTCTTCTAGAATAGCACAGAAATGTAGGAAGGAACCTGGAGTAAGCCCCACCCTCCCCAGCCATGTGCTGGGGCTCAGAACCTGCCACAGGCAGGACATGGCCACGCTCCATGATGGCTGTGGGTCGTCAAAGCCCCGCCTGGCCGAGCACGGCCCCCAGGGATGTCAGATATAGGGCAAAAGGAGGGTGAGAGTTCCCACTGCCCACCCGGCCAGGCCCAGAGGGGTGACAGAGCTGCACAGCCAGAAGGATCTCTGAGTAGATCAGAGACCCCCCAACTCCTGTCCCCAGGGTCCTCCCAAGCCAGAAGCCCAGGCTTCTGCCCTGACCTCACCAAGGCCCCAGTGGCCACCAGGGACCAATCCGAAGCTTCTCTGAGACTGGGCCCCACTTCAGCAAAATGGGGAATGCAGTCTTGCCCAGCGCAAGGGCAGGGGTGGGCAAGGGCCTGGCGGGGTCTCTGGGCCCCTTGAGTGCACTCAACAGGGGTGAGCCCCAGGGTGTCCTGGCCCTGACCAGGCGCCCCCGACAATCCCAGTCTCAGAGGGACCCTGGAAATACAATTCCCCCAGGGGCCCCCTTAATAGACCCAATAATAGACCTTGGTTCTGGGTGGCCGGTGGCCTCAACCTTCCCCATGTGGGACCGTGGAAAGTTCAGGTCGCCCACAAGCCCAGGTGCCAGGTACAGAGCTAGCACCTTCTCATCTACTCCAAAAAAAAAAAAAAAAAAAAAAATCCCTCGAGGTAGGAATGGTGTTGCCCATTTTAGAGATGAGGAGACTGAGGCTTGGAGCGGTGACTTGGCTTACCTGAGTCATATGGAGGGTGACTGTCAGAGCCTGGGTTTGTCTGGACCCCCTCGCTCTTAGAACATGATTCACCCCTCATTCTCCCTCCCTGATATACACCAGGCATGGCTACCCGGGGCGGGGGGACTCTGACCAGCTGCAGAGCCTGGTGGTCCGTCACTCAGCTGATCCAAGCTTAGGGGTGGGAAAGCTTCCGTTGGGCCTGCACCAGGGGGCATCTGTCTTTTTTTGGGGGGTACTGAGGATTGAACCCAGGGTGCTTAACCACTGAGCCCCATCCCCAGCCCTCTTCTGTATACGTTATATTTAGAGACAGAGTCTCACTGAGTTGCTAAGGGCCTCGCTTTTGCTGAGGCTGGCTTTGAACTTGCGATTATCCGCAGCCTCCAGAGCCGCTGGGATTACAGGTGAGCGCCACTGCACCCGGCAGGCACCCAGCTTCCTGTGGTTGTGGAAGACCCAAATCCCAGGATGAGACGCCCTGAACTACTGCCTTACACGGTGGGGAAACTGAGGCTTGGCCAGGGGAAGCCCAACCCGGGGCTGCCCATGTGCTGGTGGCTGTTGTGTATTGAACTGTGTCTCCCAAGATGTGTTCAAGTCCCACCCTGCCACCTATGGATGTGACCTCATTTGGAAATCAGGTCTTGCCTCCATCAAGTTAATATTGGTCACGAGGGTGGGTCCTGGTCCTATGTGGTGGGTGTCCTTAGCAGATGAGGGACAATCTGGGTGCAGACACAGGAAGAATGGTGTATAAGGTAAGGGCCCAGGTGGGGTGACGTGTGCACAAGGCAAGGTCCAGACACCGGAAAGCAGCTAGGACAGGATCATCCTCGTGACCTCCAGAGGGAACCGGACCTGCCTGCCCCTCACCTTGGACTTCTGGCCTCTGGATGGTGACAGAGCAAATTCCCGTCACTTGAGGATCCCCAGTTTGTGGTCCTTTGTTCCACAGGGTGTGGACCCCCAGCCCTGCCCCTCCTCATTCCTCTCTGCCCATCCTGTGACATCCTGTGCTCCGGGGTTGGCAGGAGGGCCTGACGCTCTCCAGCAAGGGGGAGGCACCTCTGTCCAGAGGGACTTTGGGTCTCTTTGGGTTGTAGGGCAGACTGAGGAGGCTGGGGGTGCGGCCCCAGAGGGAAGACCTGCCCCCCAGGCCTGCCCCAAGGCCCAGATTCTCCAGATGGCAGAGGAACCCAGGGAGGCCCAGCATTCCCTGTCCTTTCTCAGGGAAGTAGGGTCCAGGCCATGGTCCCAGAGAGGGTCTGGCCCCTGGGGGTCACAGTGCAAGTGCATTATGAGGTCCTGCTAGGATGAAGGATGACCAGACTTAAGGGCTGTCCCCTCCCTGGGCAGGAAGCCCCTGCTGAAATGTCCCCTCTGTCTGTCTCAAGCTGACCTTGTCTTCTCCTCCTTTGACACCCCCTCGGTGCTGGCCAATGCTTTCCTGGGCTGAAGTCCAGGTGGCCCTTGCTGGCCACGTATTTGGGAGTGTCCTTGATTTTTCTCACCTCTGGGTCCCTCCTCTTTGCATGGGGCTTCTGAGGAGGGGCGTGAGTGGCCCCTGAGGGGCCCTGGGTCAACCTTCTGCACCAAAGACCCCAAATCCGCCCACAACTGCATAACAAGCCGCTTCAAACACACCTGTTTCGCTTACAGTCGGAACTTGGCAGGTTCAGTGTCTCTGCCGTCCTGGGTGCTGGCCACAGCTGGGGGGCTGGGGCCTCAGGGAGGCTGTGCTTCCCGCTGCCAGGGACCTGCCCAGATGGGCCAGGTCACCTTCTTGAGTTAAAGTTGCCTGGGTGCAAGTATCCACCACACCGAAGACACCCCCCAGCCACTCCTGGGCCAGTGTCTGGTGGAATCGCTGGCTCCACAGCCTGCCCAGGTGACAGCAGCGTCCCATCTCCAAGATGTTCCACTCTATTCCTCAGACACTGGTGAGGGGGTGTCATGCTGCTGGTCTCCTGGGAAGGCCTTCTGAGCAACCCGGGAGTCCTCTCATGGGGATGTGAGGTGACACTTTGTCCTTGGAGGGTCAGGGGGTCCAGTTAAGAAGCATTAAAAAATTCGGGTACAGTGGTAGCACATGCCTGTAACCCCAGCAGCTTGGGAGGCTGAGGCAAGAGGATCACGAGTTCGAATCCAGCCTTAGCAATGGTGAGGCCCTAAGCAACTCAGTGAGGCCCTGTCTCTAGATAAAATACAAAATAGGGCTGGGGAGGGGGCTCAGTGGTCAAGTGCTCCTGAGTTCAATCCCTGGTAACCCCCCCCCCAAAAAAAAAGAAGCATTAAACAGGTACCTGCTGTTTGCCAGGCTCCAGTAGGTCTTGGGAGAGGATGGACAGGGGGTATGGAGGCCCGGCAGGGAATCAGACAGAGCAGGCCACTGTGGGAATCTTGGTGGACAAGGAGCCCAGAGAAACCACAGAACAAGTGGAGAGCCGCAACTTGGGGGACAGAGCATGCGCCCTTTCCCCTTCCCCTCCCCGCAGGGCTGGAAGTCCCCGAGTCCTGCACCCAGGGTGGACAAAGAGCCTGAGAGCTCTGCCTGCTGCTCTGCCCTGCTGCCTGCCCCCTGGCCTTCTGCCTTGGCACCCAGGAGGGGCATACGGGAGTGTCTGTGTGCGTGCGCAAGTGTGTACACACTGTGCTGTGACGGAGTCCTTGGCCCTACCCTCAGGGCAGCCCACGTGTGCCAGGTCTCCTGGGAGCAAGGAACCCCTTTAGCCGTCTGTGAATTGCACCCTGAGCCCAGAGGCCCTGCAGGTCCTCCAGGAGAGAGATTCCAAATGGCGAAGGGCTGGCCCCTGGGTGGGGCCCCATGGGCTCGTTCTGTGATTTCATTTTTCTTTTTTGATTCCAGGGATTGAACCCTGGGCACTTAACCACTGGGCCACATCCTCAGTCCTTTTTAGTTTTTATTTAAAGACAGGGTTTTGCTAAGTTCCTGAGGCTGGCTTTGAAATTTCGATCCTCCTGCCTCAGCCTCCCAAGTTGCTGGGATTACAGGCCTGCACCACCATACTCAGCCTCTGTATTTCTTTTCTTTCTTTCTTTTTTTTTGATGTGTGTGTACCAGGGATTGAACTAGGGATGCTCAATCACTGAGCCCCATCCCCAGCCCTATTCTGTATTTTATTTAGAGACAGGGTCTCACTGAGTTGCTTAGGGCCTCACCATTGTCGAGGCTGGTTTTGAACTCGTGATCCTCCTGCCTCAGCCTCCTGAGCCACTGGGATTACAGGCGTGCGCTGCGGTGCCCAGCTTAGCGTCTGCATTTCTTGATGGGCCTGAGGTAGGACCTCTGATCTCTGGGATGAGACTCATGCAACCATTGATTACATCTTCCAGCACATGCCAGATGCCCCCCGTGTGCCTCCTGGGGTCCGGCCAGGGCTGAATGGGGCTGTTCTGGAAGTGGGCAGGTGGGTCTCAGCAGATGAATGTGATGCCCGACAAGGCTTCCACAGAGTATGGACACACATGGGCACCATGCTGGGCCCTGGGCTTGGAGCAGCAGCACACGGTAGCAAACAGAGAGGCCCCTGGCCCAGCCCTGGCACAGGGGCATCACCTGGGCAGCCTGCACTGCTTGTGGCTGTCACTGCGGCCCAGTCTCAAGGGAGAGTGTGGAGCCCCATTCCAGGGGAGGAGTATCACTGGGGGCCATGTCTCAGATATTAGCCCTGTTTTAAAATGATCACGGTGACGCGGTCAGACAGATCTCCCCAAATCACTTTGGCTGGGAGTGGGAAGAGGAGGCCCAGAGCTTGTTGACTGCTCATGGTGACCAAAGCTTGCACCCCAGAGAGAGAGAGAGAGTGACCAGAGGCAGAGGGCAGGCTCAGGACCAGGGGCTGTGTCTAGGATGCCATGGTCAGCAGGCCGGGCTTCTTGGGCCTGGGGAAAGCCAGGAGGGCTTCCTGGAGTATGGGGCTGAGAAGGCTGGACTCTGACCCAAGACCTGGACAGAGCCTTTGGCCCTTCTGGACATCGGTCCCCCTGCTCACTGACCACTGGCCTCCCTGCCCACAGGGCAGCCGGGATCCTGGTGTGGGTGCTCGCGTGGGCCTTGCTGACAGCCGATATCTCACAGCGCCCGAGCCAGCTCCTGCTCCCACCCGCTCGCTCCTGTTTATGAAGCAAAGGGTAAGTGTTTAATTAGTCACCTAATTGCCTGGGTAATAGGGAGACGTACTTAGCTCTCCAAGTAATCAGTCGGAACAGGCCTCGAAAATATCTGGCCCAATATTCATTAGTGTGGTTCAATCGTTAAACAGTCACCGTGTTGGGTTCACGACAAGGCCCAGCAATCAGCCCGGCGCCCCCCACCGCCCGCCAGCCTGGGCTGGGCAGGCCACCCCGGGCACACCCCCAGACAGATGGCCACTGGGCACGGAGGCAGGGCGGGCGGGTCTGTGCTCCCCCCTCCCAGGGCTGCTTGTCCCTGGAGCCACAGGGGACGCCCCAATCAGCCTGCAGGGGAGCCCCACAGGCTCTGTGCGCAGCGCTGGGGGACAGGGAAGGAGGTCCCCCTGCAGGGGACAGCCCATCACCATGCATCCTGTTTACCACCCCTTGAGGCTGACAGAGCAGGTGCTTCTGTCGAGTCTTACTCACTGCACCTAAGAGAGGACCGTAAACGCGCCCATTTCACAGACAGGAACTGAGGCCAGAGGGGCAAGGCGGCCTGGGCAGAGCCAGATTTCCCCTTAACCAGCAGTCCCAGGGGCCTTCTGGAAATGCTACTGGCCCCTCTCTCCTCTGCCCAGAGCCCCACCTCCCTGTGAGGAGACTGGCCCTTATTGGGGGATGCAGCTGTCATTCAGGGTGATGTCAGCTGGGCCCTGGGCATTCCTCAGCCAGACAGCCCAGACACTGTCCCCCATCTCAACATGATCTGCTGCTGGCACCCAGAGTCTGCTCATCCATCCATCCCTCCATCCCCATCCCCATCCCTCCATCCCCATCCCCCATCCCTCCATCCCCATCCCCCATCCCTCCATCCCCATCCCCCATCCCTCCATCCCCATCCCCATCCCTCCTTCCCCATCCCCCATCCCTCCTTCCCCA